TGAAGAACCTGCTCTGTTTTGGTATGGCAAAGGAATGGAAGAAGAAACTGTCGGAAGGAGGAGAAGATTATAACAAAGTCCAACACATCCCTTCTGTTAAAATTCTATGATTGATCTCGGCAATAGTGAGTCAGACAGCAGCTGAAGGAGACTCTCTGCAATTACGGACTATCAGGTATGTATTATCTAAAAAAAAAAAGAAAAAAAAAAGGTATGTAATATCTAGGAATCAACTTCTCAGCAACCTTTTTGTATTTGCATAAACTACACACTTTAGTTAAGACTATTTCGTTGGAATGTCTCTGATGATGATATGTGTGTTTACCAATTGGTTTTGATATAGTGGCAAACAGAGAAGTTACAAGTGAAACATACTGGCCCGGTGAACCTGCTCGGCGAAGTGTATTACTTGATCTCCTGCACTGCTTTAGGTTTGACTAGAGAGATGCATTATGGGAAGTGAAGCTGGTCGACGTAGGGTTCTCTGAGAGAGGTAAAATTTGTTAAGATTCCTATATTTATTAGTATTCTCTCTTTACATTTACTTCTATTTGTTCTTCTCAAGCGACCAGGATTGTTTTTTGAAAATTTCTGTATAGAACTATGTTGAAACTCTTAAGCTATAGTCTAGGGCTGGGCAAACATTTGCTTGCCTTTGTATAAACATTTCTGGATTTGATTCCACGGAACCGATGATCGCAGTCATTGAATTTTTGAGTAAATATTTATTCGTATTATGAACTCATGTATCTTCCTCTCTGGTGTTTGAGACACTTTTGTGTTCCCCAGAGATAAAACAAGGGAACATGAGCTCCCCCAAAACATAACAGAAACCGTCTCTCAGAACTTGTATTTGCTTCCTCTTGGAACTCCCGAGAGGAAATAGAAGACTGAGAGAGAGTATAACTGTGAGAAGAGCTTTGTGATAGTTGAACAACACTCAGGCTCTCTGCTTCATTATCTACAAGCAGGACCTATAAGTTGCAGAACGTTTTCAGGCATGCCCAATGCAATTTATTTGCAGAAAATCTCCAGCCAACAAGCATGCAAAGGAGGATGAGCTGAGACTGCAAATTGTTCTAAGGTAGCCCAAGCCTGACTTGGGGACAGAGTATCGTCCGGTAAGACAGAGCTACTAATGCATTCGGTAGCTCAAGTGTAGATGATTCCGAATAAGAACAAATTTTTAAAATCCAAATCTGTGATAAACGACACTCTACTGCAATCTTGCTTGAAGGATGTTACACAAATTTGATGACCAAACGAAAGAATCATTCGGTTGCACCAACGATGATTCTTCCAAACGGCAATAACACTCAGAAAGGAGGCTGTATATGTAAGCAAGGCGCTGTTTGTTAAGACCACTAACTGCTGGGTTCGATTCTTCCGTAGCAGTTCTCTCCTCTGGCTGTGGGAGACGTGCACTCTACTCCAGAGTCATGTAGCAAATTCTCAGCTGCTTTTCTGTAACTTCTCTTGCATTAGATGCATTTACGAGATTCAACAGAAAAGAGCATCCTGTTCTTTCTTGGCTGGCAAGGAATGGTTTTTCACCAAAAGATGAAGTGATAGCTATGATTACAGACTCGATCATTGAACAACCTGTAACAAAAGAGTGAAGAAGACATTATAGGATGCTCTTTCCTGTTGAATCTAGTGGATCCATCTAATGCAAGAGAAGTTATAGAAAAGCAGCTGAGAATTAGGGGGAAATACCAAGAAATTCCAAGTATCATGATGAGTCTAGGATGATATATTGTTTGCTATATATCCTTCTCACCTTACAACCATATCTCTAAAGTGGTGTCGTTTGAAGGAGGATCCAATGCCTATTCTAGAGAAATTGCTTCACTTGAAAGAGATTAGTTTATATAAGCGATCTTTCTGTGAGTTTTTTGGGAAGAGAATGGTTTGTTCCAGGGGTGGGTTTCCTCAATTGCAGATGCTTGAATTTGATGGATTAGATGAGTGGGAAGAGTGGATAGTAGAAGACGGCTCCATGCCCCTTCTCCATACTATTTATATTTGGGAATTGGGATTGTCCAAAGTTAATGGAACTTCCTGATGGGTTGCAATTTATCACTTCCTTGAAGAACCTGACCTGCTGTGGTATGGCAAAGGAATGGAAGAAGAAACTGTGGGAAGGAGGAGAAGATTATTACAAAGTCCAACACATCCCTTCTGTTACAATTCGATGATTGGTCTCAGACATCAGCTGAAGGAGACTCTCAGCAATTAGGGACTATCAGGTATATATTATCTATGACTATTTCGTTGGAATGTGCCTGATAATATATGCTTGTTTACAAAATTGTTTTGATAAACAGAGAATTTACACAGAGACCCTTGATAACGCGGTGAAGCTGTTCGACCAAATGTCTAACTGAGACCCTTGGTCCCCTGCACTGCTTTAAGTTTCTATTTAAGGAAGTGTAGACTGAGAGAGGTGAAATACGTTAAGATTCTTATATTTATTAGCATTCTCTCTTTACATTTCCGTATAGACTTGCATCGAAACTCTTCAGCTAGACTAAATTGAAATGAAAACGGGATACTGAGAGATGTATTTAGGGAAGTGAGCACCTCACAGCCTTGATTGTTAAGAAACGAGTAATATATGTTTATGTACTAATGGCCGAGATAAACGTCTCTCAGAACTGAGCAGTATCTAGAATTTCAATTTTATCGTTGAGTGAGTCCCTTAATGTGTAACTAGGCTAGGAGAAGAACGTTGTGTTGGTTCTGACTCTATTAAGTATGATGATATGGTTTACACATTTAGATAGTGGTTTAGTCTGAACCGGTTTGTACCGGATAGTTTATGGTTTGTATATAAACACTTGTATCACGTTACTTTACAATTAACAGAAACAGTTTTATTATTTTCCAAATCCTCTCATCATCTTCTTCCTCACGAGAGCTGAGTTTCTGTTCAAATCTCAAGTTTACTAAAATGGTATCAGAGCAAAGAAACACCTGATTTCACGCTCATATCATCTTCCGCTTCGTTTTGTTTTGGATTGATCTTCATAGATTGATCACGTTTTCATCTTCTTTGGCTTGATTTGTCACTCAAGCTTCAGTTCATCAAATCATCTTCATCGAGCACCAATCTCTTCGGTAGAGTTCTAATTTCTCTGAATCGAGCTTTGATTCTTCAGTTATCAGTTTGATTATCAGATCCAAGCTCTATTCTACTGATATCGGATTTCCTCGATTCTTCTGATTTGTCTATGTGAAGCGATTCGTCCGATCGTCTTCAATCTCCAAGTTCGATTCTGGTTACCAGTTTCTCAACAGAACTTGGATTATTCACTTCACGATCCTCATCTATAGCTGATTCGAGCGTCTTCTTCTTGTTTCCTGTGCGATTTTTGCTTATTTCTGTATGTTTTGAGCACTGAATCGATATCAATGGTGAAATTGGATAGCAACTTCAAGTCTTGTACAGCTACATGGGATTCGTTGAAGATCTCTTTGCCAAAGGTTCGTGATGATCCTTTAGGTTTTTCATCATCTCTGATTACTTCTGTATGTCCAGACCAGAGTAATTTTCGAGGTTCAACACCGGATTCACCGGTTCTCACATCTCCGAAGACTCGAGCTAAGCCTTATGGCTCATTGTTAGCTCGTGGTTGTTCAGATGTTCAAGATCGTGCAATTTCTTTGCCGATTTCAGTCTCTCTCGGTTGTTCCACCGATCAACATACAGCTACTTTGATGGTGATTGCTCACAAGGTTGGGTGTTACACTGGTAAAGCAAGCTTGTATACTTGGAACTCTTTCATTCCTGAAGATGTTTCTTCGGTTTTAGTTGATCTTATGGCTGGCTTAGTGATGAACTCGTATTCATTGTTTCCTGGTTTGATTGAACTCATTGTTCCACCAGAAGTTATTCGGATCTCTTCCACGGCCACCTGAGAGTTGCTTCATCTCTTGTTCCTTGCACAGATTCACTGTTCTGGTATGTGATTGGTTTATACACTCAATCCCTCTGACTCTAGATTATGGAACATTGCGATGTGGTATGGATTCAGAAGATAGTTACAGGCTTCAGTATCGTTGTAGACAGGGGGAGCAACTTAAGTTTGCTGTTGATCCATGTTGCTTAGACCTCTGTGATTGTCTAGCTGATTGTCATAATATTCTGCTCTTAGAATCTCTGGCCTGTGAAGTATATGAACTGATGTCGATGAACTTCAGAGGATTGCCGATGCTAGCACCTCTTGTTATTGGCTCATTTATCAACCTCTCCACTGCAACTGCTGCATTGGTTCAACATTTAAGATGTTGGTTTCATTTGTTCTCTCTTGACAAGCAGCAAGCTGATGCAACAATTGATTTTTGGCTGCAATATTGCAAGACGTTTACTGGTTTTAAGGATTCAACAAGTTGTCTTGGGATGCTGTTCGCTGTTGCTGAGAAGTTCTTTTGGTTTAATGATTCACACATTTGGAGTGATGTGGTGTGTGATGATGTGGTTTACTTTCTGGGTACAAGATATGGATGTCAAGAGCTTGATAGACTGCTTCAGGAGATGGAGTTAATGTCTGAGATAAGCTATTTCTTACTGAGAATTATGCAGGTTCCTATTCAAATTGACAGAACCGAGATTTCTGGCCTTGAGCTACTACTCAAACAGAGCTTGCCTCAAGCTTTTCTGCACATACTCAAGCAAGACTATGACTTCTTCAGATGCATATATGTGGTTATTTCTGGTCGTTTTGGTCTACTCACTGAAATTCCTTATGGTTCATTGCCAAGACCGCCAGATGTTTCATTCCCCTCTAATTCATATGGTTTTCTTCATGTCCAAGATGTAATGGCTTACATCTTGAGGGGGAGTATTAAGTATGATGATATGGTTTACACATTTAGATAGTGGTTTAGTCTGAACCGGTTTGTACCGGATAGTTTATGGTTTGTATATAAACATTTGTATCACGTTACTTTACAATTAACAGAAACAGTTTTATTATTTTCCAAATCCTCTCATCATCTTCTTCCTCACGAGAGCTGAGTTTCTGTTCAAATCTCAAGTTTACTAAAAGACTCGATAACTCTGGAAGGCCTTCTTCTTTCAGTTTGTCTTCAACACAACTTAGGCACTACTCCAAGCAAGACCTCTTCTTGTTTCTATAAGTGTTCAAAGGTCAAGACTGAGCCGTAGCTAGATTCTGTGATGTTTCGTGAGCCCCAGATCCCAAATCCTGCAATAAAAGATGTTGGATACCGAGAGGATAAATCTCAGAAGACATCAGAAGATCACCAAGCAACCAGAGAAGACTATTATAACTCTGCAGAAGTTGGCGTGTTCACCAAGCAAGCCAGACCTAAGCTGGACAAGCCTAACTCCGGTAAGACAGAGCTATTAATGCATTCAGGGATTAAAATAAGATGATAGAGGTTAATAAGGTTCACCTCTATGAGTCCTAAACAATGCTACAAAGGTCAAGTGTAGAAACAAAGTTCTTACAGGTCTAAGAAGAATCAGAATCACACAATTTATGAATGAATTTAAAATTGCATAGCTCTGCTTCTTTCTACTCTGTTCTAACGACTCTAACAAACTGTTACTTCGATCCATCAAATAATAACACGTGTCCTTCCTTGTTTCCGTTTAAAGTCCCTCCTCTTGCACAAAGAAACCATTTGGAGGTATACTCTAGGGTGCTCATAGGTCTACTTTCAAGTGTATCTAAAAAAAATCATCTTTCCAGGAACAAAGAGAGATATAAAGTAGTTGCAGTTGAGGAAAAGATAAGCTTTAACGAATTATATGTATATTCCCTACCTCTGCCTGTTTTCAGGCCATATCTATCAGCTAACTTTAGTAGAGTCAATCAGCTTCTTCTCCTCTTTCACAGATTCAGTGAGTGAAAAAAAACAGAAACCTTAATGTAGTCATCATGGGACAATAAGTTGATTCTCTCCAGCATTCTACAACGATCAGCTACATGCATAGATGAAAGAACGTGAAGGAACAAGCGTTTTACAGAGTGTGAGGAGACACTGAAGCATAGATATAAGATAAACATCACAACTACTCATGTGTGTAGTACGGCAAGCGTTATACATCAATGGTAGTGTGGAGATGAAGAAAATCCTAAGATGAAATTGTATTCAACATTTCTACGAGTGGGAAATGTGAAAATTGCCAGTTATACCCCAAACACTTCCTGACAATTAGCTCAGCTTGAATGTGAAACTCATTCCTCTCACTCTCAGGCAATTTATTAATGAATTTGACCATCTTTCCACATTTTACCCAGCACTCTTCCCTCACTTCCATACGTTTATAGCTTAAACACCTTAAATTCCTTGACTTGTTCCATGCTATAGACTTCTATGATATTTCCTACATTTATATAAACAACATCAACAAACTTAAAATCTATATTATCATGACCAATTGTAGTTAGGAAAAATAATTTGAGAATGTACTAAATTTTCTAAAAATTATTAAATTGTTTATTTCTTAAAGTTTATTAAAATGATTGTTCACAACTTCTCATGAACTACTTTACTGATTAATAGTTACATAACAATGATTTAAAAAGATTTGTTTTGATTTCCTTTTGAGAATATAAATTTTTGAAGCTTATTGAATATCGTAAATTTCTATTTAACACAATTTCTCAAATGTCAGTTTAATATATTTTTAAAATAACCAGCTGGTAACTTCCAATTGAATATTGTAAATTTCTACTTAGATCTTCAAACTTGATGGTTTTTTGCGAATTATCTATTCGATAATTTTGCAAATATGGCTTATAGCGCGTTACACTGTTGTGATAATTCATATTTCTTAAGAATAATTTACATTTATGGTGACCTTGATAGTTACCCCAACATAAACTCTTGTTCTTTGTCTGCTAGATACTACAACTGAAATCATTGTTAAGCATTTCCCAGAAAGAAAAACCATAGGTAAACAAGTAGTGTGACATAATGTTGTTTGAAAAGGAAGAACATATTTTATTACTTTTTAAGTTTCATTTTTCATTAAATTGCTAAAATATTATTATTTTCTGTTTTTTACTAAATATTTTTTCTGTTTTAGAAGGTAAACAGTCTTTAGCGACATATGCTCTTAAAAAGAGATATTTTCTCAAAGTGAAACTTAAAAGCCACCATTTACGGTGTTGCTGGCAACCTCTGATGCAAACTTCGTTAAGACGATCAAACGACTACAGAAGGATGATGATGTTGTGCTTTTAGCATGTCAGTATAATGGGGATGGGATCCTACTATCGGCATTTCTTGTGAAGTCGTGGTGAGCTAATTTTATAATGGGAGGAGAGTAAGTCGGGAGAGCAGTTGGTAGAATATCTTTTTATTTTGTTTAGAATTATTTCAACTTTGGGCTCAAAATGTTTAGAATTTAAATATTTCATAGGTTTAATACCGTTTTAAGGTTTTTATAACGAATTAAGAAAAGGATTAAATTTTCTATGTCACCCCTGTTTATTACATTATTGTTAGTTAGGAAAACGAATTTGAGAATGTACAAAATTTGCTTAACTTTTTTTATTTGCTATTTGTTAAAATTTATTAAAATAACTGTTCATAACTTCTCGTGAACTACTTTACTGATTAGTTAATTATACAAAACAATGATTTACAAAGATTTGTTTGATTTCCTTTTGAGAATAAATTTTTTTGAAATTTAATGAATATTGTAAATTTTTATTCAACATGATTTCTCGAATGTCACTTTAATATCTTGTTAAAATAATCAGTTGGTAATTTTCCAATTTTAATCTAAACCATATATGGATTGGAATGTCATAGCTAATGATGTTGATGTGTATATCAAATTTCATAAACTTTTAGGTAGTGGATTAGATATTGAAGACATTAAAGAAAGTTGAGTGGTGAGTTTTACAACTAGAAGTAGTATATATCTAAATTACAATTTAATTACTGTATGGATTTTAACTTCTTTGCTTGAAAAGCTTGAATAATAGTCAAATATTTGTTATTTTCTTTGGATTAAAGTTTCATTTATTCAAATAAAGATTATAAAACTTGTGAACAAAACCATAGAAACAAATTATTACATAAGTTGTTATTAGATTATTTATTTTAGCGGGTCGGGAAATTACCTAACTGAATATTTGCTTATTATGTTGTTCATTTTTCAGGTAGAGTTTTTTTTATGGTTTTTATCTATCAATTTATTAACTTTTACATTGTTGTTTATTGTAGATAGATGAATCTAGCAATAGAGCCGAAAGAACTTTTTGTCTGCCCTCCATAGTGACTATTGTGTCACGATCTACTTAGATCTTGACACATGTGGGTTTCCTACGATTTATTTTTTCGATAATTTTGCAAATATGGCTCCTAGTGCATTACACTGTTGTGATAACTCCTATTTCCAAAGAAATATTTACATTTATGGTGACCTTGATTGTTACTCCGGCTAAAACTCTGGTTCTTTGTCTGCTGGAGATATTATAGCTGAAATCATTTTACACATTTCCCATAAAGGAAAACTGTGAGTAAACAAATAGTTTGCCGTAATGCTGTTGGACAAGGAGGTACAAAATCTATTTAAGATGTTATTAATTTTATAAGTTTTCTTTATCAATAAAATTGCTAAAATATTATTTTTCCTGTTTTTGTTTTGATTAAAATATTTGTTTTCCTATTACAGATGGAAACAATTTTTAGCGACATATACTCGTAAAAAAGAAAAAATTTCTCAAAGTGAAACTAAAGCCGCCATATACAGTATTATTGGCAAGCTCTGATGCGAACTTCATTAAGGAGATTAAACGACTACATAAGGATAATGTTGTTGTACTTTTAGCATGTCAGTATAATAAGATGAGAGCCTAGTTCAACTGTTCTTGTGAAGTGCTGGTGGCCTAGTTTTATAATGGGTGAAAGTACGAGTGAAGAGCGGTTGGCTGAATATCTTTTCATTTTCTTTAAAATTATTTCAATTGTGGGCTCAAAATGTTTAGAATTTTGATATTTCCTTCCGTTTTAAGATTTTTACACACAAAATAAGAAAGCGATTAAATTTTTAATACCTTTTGTTTGATTTTATTTATTAATAAAGTAAAATTAAGAGAGAAAAATGGAAAAACCATTTAATATTTACCTTGAAAATATAAAGCGGCATTTATAATAAAGCAAGATTTAAAAGTTAAAATGACACATATGAAACTGAGGGGGGGGGGATATATTATGAAAACGTCAAAATGTACTAACATATCTATTTATTGTGTCTGCATATTAGTAAAATAATATATTTATTACATAATAATTTACTAAGTAAACTGAGTAAATGTTTGAATGTCTATTTATTTTTGTTTATAAGAATTATTTCAACTTTGAGCACATCGATCCTACTCAGCTTGATTTTGGTTTTGTATAATATCTCATTCTCTCTGAATCACGTTGCTCCTGGCTTGCAGGGCACTGAGTTTTATTGAAACAGCAGGCAAGAACTTATGGGTAATGAAAGAGAAAAGAAAGCAGGTGCAGTTTCATTCCAGTTGGAGACGTGCTTGCTTTTATGTTGCTTTCATTCATGAACTCTGAGATAATTGAAAAAGAACAGTTGCTTGCTTTCCAGATACAAGATACAAAGACAAATCTTGGGCTGGGTTACTATATATCTCACCTGCTTATGGACGCACTTGTGCTTAAGTTTGTTTCCTGTATCTTTGAGATAAGCAAATCGAAAAGAGGAACTGAAGAAAGCTAAAGAGTCATTGGTTTCTTCTGCTCCCCAAACTAGAGTCTGAAGCAAAATGAACTAGAGTCTGAAGCAAAATGTCTAGTTTCAACAAATGCTGAGACAGAAGCAGTATCATCGGAGGTAAATTAAAAGAAACCGGCATACATCTTGTCCCAATAAATAGG